TCAACCAGATTTCCACTGTCTGGTCTTGAAAGCAATTGTGGTCAATAGGTGAATGCCATCCCGAATCTGAATGTCAGACCGAACGTAACTCCAGATCCAGTTGACGTTGAAGTTGAAGTTGAGGTTGCCGAGGAGACCAGGTACGGTTGCTCAGTCTCATGCTATCTGTGGGCTGATGCGGTTGGCTCGTGGGTGCTTTCGTGTAGTACGGAAAACGTTGTGAAGGCCAACACGAGAGGTGTGTCAAGGGGAGCACCGTGGATGTCGGTGAAAAGGAGTGTGATGCTTTGTTTACTTGACAACGTGACGCTTGACGGTCACTTTAGAAGTTGTATGACCCATGTAGTCGTGGGCTGGCCTTCGGGTCATGCTCAAGTCCATTTGCTTAGTTCTCTTCAGAATACATGTCACCAACTCTCGCTTACTTTTTCTTCCACTCTATGGAAAGTGTCGAAACGATACGGACAGTAACAGAAGGCTTTGGTATTTTTTCAGCGCATGTTAATGGAACCTTTTACAGTAGCATTAAGGCCTTTTACAAGATTAGTGAAAGCTTAGGCGCTTCATTAACGCTTTAAAATTAACTATTATTCTAACAGAGTTTGAGAGCTCATACTGTCCTTAGAGCGTTGAAAATGTATATCACTTTGAAAGCTGTTCCAGAAACTTGTGAGGACGACTCATGTAAACCCCAGTGATTGGTACATCCTCCCTCTTTGCTGTCCCGTTTGCCTTAGCGATCCCTACTATGCTTAATAAAGTCTCGCAGAGAAGACCATCTTCAAAAGAACCTTGGGAAGGACCAAGATTCCTAATTAGATCCAAGAAGTAAAATATACAATATACGTCAGGTTCCTGTATACTGAAAATATTTTGTGCTAAGAATTCACATATTTTCTAGTCATTGTATGAGTGTTTAGTATGTGGTTATGCCAACTTCTATTCAATGAGCCATTTTATAATAACGAGGAAACCAACAAGAAATAACTAATATTGCTTTATCCTCCTATTACTCAATTTATTGCATAATTTTATCCAATCATTAGAAGAAGGCCAAATGCTTCCCAGTTATTTACCAACCAAGTGCGACGTAAGAAGGAACGGCTTAGGTATGCGGACGAATTTAAGAAAAAAATGTGCGTACTTTTATATTTGTAGCTGCATAAAGTGATTGAGAGTTCATTTCACACTTGCCTGTGCCATAATGTGTTTGTATAAGTAGATTTTCTTAAACGCATAACCTTGAGTTGAAAACCTATTTCAGCGTTTCCGAGACCGCCTTGCTCTCTGGTTTGCGTGACTTTTAGCGATGCTCTCTCTGCGCTCCTCCTGTGCGAGGCCTTAGCAATCTTAAAGTTGAATTTATGCTCCTCTTTTGTACTAAAGATCAGAACTGCTTAGCAGTATAGTGCATGATAACTTACTGATGCAAAGAATTCAGCAATTCGATCATATGCTTTCTACTTTTAGTTGGCCTTGGCTCCTTGCTTTCACTTGCTCCAAAAAGATGCTCTTCCGCTGCTGCTGCTGTGCAATCACTGATTACAAAGGAACTTGATGGTATTAAAGCAGCTGGAACGTGGAAAACAGAGCGGGTTATCATTAGTCCACAGGCTGCTGATGTTTCTGTTGAAGGAATAAAAGGTGGCGTCATCAACTTCTGTGCCAACAACTATCTCGGTCTTGCTGTAAGCTGTCCTTTCCTTTGGGGATTACTGGTTCTTGCTAGAGCCATCCTCGTGTGGTCGAAACTGCCATGGAATGTCTCAAAACACATGGTGCAGGAATGAGCTCTGTTCGTTTTATCTGCGGAACCACCGATATCCATAAAAAACTGGAGCAGAAAATAGCCCATTTTCACGGTCGCGAAGACAGCATTCTATTCCCAAGCTGCTTCGATGCCAATGCAGCTATCTTTGAAACTCTTCTCACTCCTGAGGACTGTGTTATATCTGACGAGCTGAACCACGCATCAATCATCGACGGCATTCGTTTGTGTCGTGCTAAGCGCTTTAGATATCTTCATGGTGATATGAAAGATCTCGAACGCTGTCTTGAGGAGGCTAAAGATTGTCGCGTCAAATTGATCGCTACCGATGGTGTGTTTAGCATGGACGGAGACATCGCTAAACTGCCGTGAGTGTTCAGTGCATTATTTCAGTGCAAAAGTATTTCCTTTATAAACGACTTATGCATTGATCGATTTAGAGAAATTCTGGAGTTGGCAGAGAAGCATAACGCCATCACGTTTATTGATGAATGCCATGCTACTGGCTTCTTTGGAGCAACAGGTCGTGGAACTGAGGAGTACTATGGCGTACAAGGCAAAGTAACCATAATAAACTCAACCCTGGGCAAGGCCATGGGTGGCGCTTCTGGTGGCTATACTACAGGCTCAAAGGAGCTTGTCACCCTTCTTCGTCAGCGTGGTCGCCCCTATCTCTTCTCCAACAGCCTTCCACCTGCTGTCGTTGGTGCAGCCATGGGAGCCTTCGACCTTCTCACCGAAAGCTCTAGTCTGCCTCAAAAATTGCACGCCAATGTCAAGCTCTTCCGCGATACAATGACCCAACGCGGTTTTAAGCTTTCTGTGCGTCTAATTCTTATAATCTGTTTTCATCTTTAGTTCATTTGAAGCCTACAATTCCATTTCTAATCTTGTAGGGTGATTATTGCCACCCCATTGCCCCGGTGATGCTCGGAGATGCTCGTTTGGCTGCTCAGTTCGCCGATGCAATGCTGCGTATGCATTTATCAAAGTTAATTAGTCTAATGTTTTGTAAACTCTCGATAAAACCGCTCTGTTATTTCCAATTCAGAGCATGGGATATACGTGATCGGCTTCAGCTATCCAGTTGTACCCAAGGGTAAGGCTCGTATACGTGTCCAGATCTCCGCGGCCCACAGTCAAGATCAAATAAAGAAGGCCATTGATGCGTTTACGGCTGTTGGAAGGAAGCTCAATGTCATTCAGTAGACTTCCTCCTTGAATGTGTCTTCTATTAACACTTATTCGCTTCATTCGCCCTTTCGTCTGTCGAAAGCGCCTTTTGTAAAATAGTATAAACGAACTTCAGGTCCACATCATTTCTGATGAATTCTTAAAAGGAAAATGCGGATCTTCACCTCATCTGGGCTGGCTCACATGGTGACATTTTCACCAGATGGTCAGGTTACCGGTTTAAAGAGTTTACAAAACCAGTAAAGATGTATTTTGCAAAAACGTTAGTACTTTAATCTCAGGGTTAGTCAGCACACAGGAGTTTTAATGCGTTTGGGTTAGACCTTTTGAAGCTGAATTTGGTTGTAGAGAGGCGATCGGGCGTGATGAACTAATCAGATCAAAATTTTGTTTTGCTGTGTCTGCTGAATTCTATAAAACGTCTGTAAATCGAGTAAGTCTATGCCGCCTCATAGCCCGCCCTAATTGCAGATTAAGACTCATGCTGGGTCCTATTTTATGTTGGTTAGCTCTCCTACGACTGATTTACTCTCCTTCTCAATTCTCATCAGTTAAGCTGGAAGTTGATGATTGACTCTTGTTGACAGCGGTGTCTACGTTGCTGTCATTGATGGTGGTGGAGCGATGAGTATCACTTCCGATGGACAAGAGGAGATTGTGTGCCTGTTCAACTGCCAACTTGCGGTTCCAGACGGCCACAATGGCCAATAATTACTATGCTAAGCTGACAGAATAACTTGAAGGTTCATGTGTGTAGAGGTTTGTTTACGTTTCAAGCTCCTATGATAGAAATGCGGAACTAACTTTGATCACAATAAATGCAGAGAGGGGTTGACAAGCTTACTACACCATCACTGGTAGCTGTCGATGCCAGACGGGTGTCATCGACTCCATTTCAATGCCATACTGAAACAAGGCGGCTTAAACACTCATCCTAAAAAATCTAACATCCTCGACTCAAATATGGCTTTGTCTTGGCATCTCTTGCTAAGCTTTAATACGTTTCGAAAACGCCCTTTTGTAATTAATTATCAAGGTGGCCTGCCTCGACTTCCATAGGTGTGCTCACAAGTTGGAGACAGATAACTCTTGAGAAGCGCCTGTTAAACCCTGGTGCACAATGTGCAGCACCCTGGGCTTCTCCGAAATCAGATGGCAAGGCAACAGTCGATGCAAAGCACTTCAGCTTACTGACATAATCTCGAGGCCCATTGACTTAGCCATTGATCGAATCATCAAAGCAGAGAATTTATCCACCAGCATAATACAAAAAAGTCCTCAGTTTATAGTGTTTAAATGCAGATAAAATGAGAGGTGATCGATTTGTCGGACTGGACTGCCTCCTTAAGCACTATCCATCATCCAGTATGACAAAGCCTTACAATGGTGAGACGTGGATTTGTATGCATTCGGGTCTCTCCACACCCCACGGGTGGAGTTCAGCATTCGTGCGAAGTGCATACTAAGTAAGAAATTTACTAATGCATGTGTTGCGATGCTTTGTCTTGCCATTAGCAGAACTGGGTGTGGTCACCGCCACCCCCCTCACACACACACTCCCTCAATCATAGAACCAGTCGCCGAAAATGTGATTACAACGTCACGTATCTATCGTACTTACGAACTCTTCCGGAATCGATTGACGACGTTATGGAAGATTTTTGTCTGACAGCAACAGAACAAGGTGGTTTAATTCCCGCTTAACCCCAAAGTCAAAAGATATCGAACCGAAAGGCTGTGTAAATTGTATTAAACCTAAGGGACTATGCATATAGTTTTACTTTTATTGTATTATTTTAACTCAATCCATGTGTACCTTCATTGAAACCGATCAGAGGCATACCACCCTAACACTGCATCACCGCCAAAAAATGCCAGACTTGGCTAACTCGTAAGGTCGGACCAGATTCTGAAGTGTCATAATGTTGCAGTAAGGTTGGAGTTAAAATGATTTGCTCCAAAATTCCGTTGAGTAGGAAGTTTGTCAAATTAATGGCACATCGTTATTCTACGAAGTCGTTAGAAATCCCAAAACTTATGTTTTATGGCACAGCACTACAGGGCAAAGTATTAACTGAGATGTGCCCATTTTGGTTTTGATTGTTGGCAAAAGTTGCAACATATTCAGCAAAATTTTGCTCCGACCGAGCGTGGGGGCTACAAAAGACGAATTAAGCATTTTCGCATGACAGTGTACATACAACCTACACAAGTGTTCCGAATCCGATTGCGTACAAAATTGTAATGCTTTGTTTATGTGTTCACCTGACGTTCAGCGGTCACTTTGGGATTTGTCTAACCCTTGCACTCGCAGCCACGCCTTCTAGCCATCCTCAGGCCCATTCGCTCTGTTCCCTTCTATATACATTTATCCAACTCTCACTTACTCCCTTCCTCCATCCTACTTGGAACTCTCGGGACGCTGCACTGGTGGCAGCGAAACGCAAACCCGACATTTTTCAGTGACCTCTGTCCTAACACGTACCCTTTGTTGTATGTACCTACGGTATAGAGGAGGAGGTGGCAGGAGAATTCCTTAAACCCTCACAACGAAAGGCTCGAGACCGACGTTTGTAGTTGGCTTCACCTCATCCCTGTGTTTCACAAACAAGCTATTAACAGCTGAAGCAACACCACCGCAAACCATCCGGGAAAGTTTCGTGTTGGAATTCCTCCTACAGAACCCGTGTTTAGGTGTCGGTAATGACATTAGGGTTCGTCTTATATGCGGGACAGTGGCTCATCTCGTTTACCCTGTAGCGTATCTCTTTTTTCAACCAGATTTCCACTGTCTGGTCTTGAAAGCAATTGTGGTCAATAGGTGAATGCC